CCCGCTTCCGCCGGCCATGACAAGAGCATTTTAATCTGATTTCGTTCATTAAGCATAACTACCTTGACACTTCTTCCTCTCACCAACAAAAACAGACTAAGATCTGACATACCGATAAAAATGAAAAAATATAATACAATCGAAAATTCAATATCAACCCCTAATATTCATTCATTTTTCACATCATTTTTTATATTAAAATTATCCCATTAGAGATCTCGTCTTTTCATTTAGAATGCTTACGATGAGGGCGTATTACACTTATTCTTTGTTTTACGTGTATGGTGTATGGTTTAAATACTATAGTGTTGTATCAGGATACCGTGCGTCCCATCGGATTCGAATTTTCGATTCCCGATTTCGAGTCTTGGGCAGTGGCGGCACCAGCGGGGGATAAGGGGCTTAAGTCCCCCACCGGACAGGTCATCTCATTTGGGAGAGGAAACACCCTTTCAATCCCTTCTACCAGCTCGAGCCTGGTTGGGGAAACTTTTTAGCACTCTCATATTCCTATTCAAATGGATAAATAACAGTGCTCGAATAGGAACAACGAAGAGTTCCTCTATTCACTTCACTCATCTATTTACTGCAAACAAGTAAACAAGTTGTATGAAAAACGTTTCTTTGGCGGGATAGAACATACAACCTCTCGCTATTATGGTGAGTGTTACACCCATTAGACCACGGAGACCTATAGGGTATGCGTGCAGAGCTAACCCCAGGCACTTTCTTTCATACAGTGACTGACTGAAACACTCACATAGAGTGGAGCTATGGACAAGCTACAAAATCTTATTGTTCGCCGCTATATTTGTATATGTTGGCATTTGTTTAATTTTATTATATTTTTTTCTTACTTCGTACACCTTGATTTAAAAGCTCTTTTAAGTTTTTTTGTTTGTTTGTTTGTTTGTGTTTTTTTTGTTTTTTTTGTTTTTTTGTTTTTTTTTGTATATATATAATATACGTCAAGACACAGATCAAATACACAAAAAAAATAGACCTGTTGCCTAATAAAACTTTTAACTCGTGAAGCAAAAATATTTAAAATACATTCAGCTAATGTGACGTCACTTGGTGTTTAGGGCCTATACGTACCGGTACATGAAAACCTCGAAATCAATTGTAGGCCTATTATCTACAAACGTCAATTCATTTTAAAGACGTTGATAATTTCTTAAATTTCAATTATAATTAGCATTTAATGGGCAATTACACAAAAAATACAAATTAGAATTACTGTAAAGATCATATAACTCCAAAGGTTATTTCAGATGTTCTTAAAAAAATTGAGGAATTCTAACTTTAGCAACCGTGAGCTAAACTTCGGTCAATTTGCATAGTCATCTTTTGAAATCACTAGTCAGCTTGTAACAAAAGTTTACTGACATTTGATTGGTTATTATACTTTGCGAACTCCCATCTATTTCACCAAATACTGATGTCAATTGAGTTACGTCAAATGACCGAACGCATGGAAATGTAATTGCTCTCCTGTAATTTAATTGACAACACAGTGTCAGCCAAATTTCTTTAAAACATGCCAAAATTACCAAACGTGATGAGTCAAGTGTAGTGAATAAAGTTAACAGAAGCAAATTTCGTCAACACATCAAGCAACAACACTTGAAAATATATGACTGACAGTTATTTACAGCGAATCAATTATTAATACAGTACTACTTATATAAAACGTCAGTCACAAGAACATTTAATTAAACTTGAATCATTAAGCGAAACTAATTTTAATAAATTAAAATCACTTCAATGACACCTGTATTCGTTTATACGTGAGGGCAATAAACAAATATGAAATATTCATGAATTCTACAGAAATAACGATAAAAAAATTACAAAGGGAATAGGGGTATTTGAGGTATATTTCTCAACTTCTTTTTATTGTCATAAATTCAAAAGTTTACTTCTATAGTATTCAGGCCTGTTTATACTCAACGATAAAAAGCTAAAAAGCAATATTTTCATATAAAAAATAAAAGAAATGAGATGTTTTTTACACTAGAATGATTCGATAACGACTTATCATGTATACATTAAAAAATAATTTCACAAATCAATTAAAATGAGATAACAATAATTAAAAAACGAATAAATCGTAGTAGTAACAACGATTTTACCGTTTTTCTATGATTATGACGTCATTTGAATTGATTTTTCAAAATATTTTGTTATCGTATACAGTATATGATAAATTCTTATCGAATCGTCCTAGTGTAAAAACAATTCTTATATATAATAATCTCTTTATTTATAAACGGCTAAAACCCAAATTCAACATAGAAAATATAATATCAAAAAAAAATATAATGTTCTTCTTTGAGTTCGTGGTTAATCATTAATAATGATATAATAAAAACAATTAATAATAGAATAGAATAAAAATCGTTTGCAAGTATAAACAGGCCTTTATTCTGCAAAGTCAAAAACACCAAGAAATATTATATACAATATCATAAAAAAAATATTGGAAACAGTTAATTAGTAATATTAGTGTATTTTTCCGTTTTAAGTTTCCAAGTAATGTTGTCACAACATCTTATTTTGAGAGTTTTCATCACATTTCTTACTGCGATTTGAAATTCCTTCCTTTGGATAGTGTATATTACTGGGTTGACGACGGGACCAACTGACATAGCTGGAATCCATAGATATATAACTAGGTCTGGCAACTTGCAGCAAAATGAGGAAAGAAGAAATACAAAAAAATACACCAATCACAATCATCGTTATTTTTGTTGCTTTCAAAGAAGAAGAATTATATATTTTCTTTTGTCTAAGCTGCTCAGTAACGAGATTGCTTCCGAGCTGTAATATACATTTGCACATTTATAGCAATGATTGTAAAATAGCTTACCCAACACATCGTTTGATATAGTATTGAGATTAGATTTTTATACCTCCATGGATTAACAGACAACTCTGTGTTTTTGTACATACGACTATGCGTGTACTGAAGCTTGAGATAATTAAGTCCGCCCAAGTTTATAAAGGATGGCCAGCTTATTAAAAGCCTGGTTCACGTCGAACTTTTATCTACATAAGTGAGTACTTATCTATAGAAATAGATAGGAGATGAGTCAATGATGTAACAGTAAGATACTTCATAATTCCGTACAGCCAGTGCAAGTTTGTATAAGGCATCATTGCAATACTGGATGTGAGGTCGACAACTGCAAGACTAGCAAATGAGATAATTGTTGTAAGTATGAAGTGAGGTACATTTTATAATGATAGCCAGGACAAAAATATTACAAAGGTGGATACTCCTAGCAAACAGACGACTACTCCAACCATCTTTGTAGTACTTTCTGAATACAGGAGTCAGTTGCATTGGTATCCATTACGAAAATATTTGTCTACATGTATATTGATTCCAGAACATTTCCGTTAATAGTACAGATCAGAAATTCACATGCAAAACTAGACCAGCTTCCTAATAAAGCTGTGAATATGTAAATATATAAGGTATTCAATACTGTACGTCAATCACAATAACACTAATAATTGATTCTCATTAGTTTCTTATCAGAGGTATGGAATCTTGTCTTGGGCCCCTTGTATATTAGCAAGTGCTTTTGCTTCTGAAGTGACCGGGGTGGTTAATATCCCTAGAGATATTTGTTAAGGCTGAAAAGACTGTATTTATTATGTTAAAAAATGTCGTTTCTAACAGCGGGTATCGATTATGCCTAATTGGATTCAACACCTTTTTTTCATTCTGTCGGTCGACGTTACAAACTCTTTAGTCCCCCCAGTCTATAATTATAGTAAAGAGCAAAGGTACTATGCATCATAAAACAAATAGGCCTACAAATGTGTCCAGCCAGCCTCATGTGAACAAGCAGATACACTCACTGAAAAATTAACTTGTGCATAAACAAACAATTTCATCTTTTTATTCTCCATGAGATATTTCATCTAAAAGCCAAAATTCAATATTCAGTTATTTTTATTTATCATATATTCATTTAAAGTGTTTTTCGTTCATTTATAACTAAAATACATGAAATGTACCGTATTAGTTTTCTGTACATCTGAATAATGCTAAGAGCAATACCCCCCCCCCCAAAATAACAAGATTCAAGCCACATTTTCTAACATACTTCTTCGACTATTAAATCAGATATATAAAAGCTTTGACAGAATAATCTGCATCTGGGTTTGAAGCTCGCGTCACACGGTCAATTTTTGTCTTCAAATATCCATTAAGAGTAAACATGATTAATGGGGTGTACCTGGTTTGAGTCCTTATTCTGTGATTTTACTGCGACCTTTGCTTTAACCTCCTCTTTGGTATCCACAGTGAGGGTAAAAGAACTGGAAAGTACAGAACATTTTCTATTTGCCTTCAGATTTTGAGAACATCTGGAAATCATCAGCAAATCACAGCATAGAAAGTATAGACATTATAAAATAGTAGGGACCTGCACAAGAATAGATCCAGTATCAGTATACCCTTATTTAGATTGTCCCTAAAATTTCTATTAGGTGACAAGTCAGACCTGTCAACCCGTACGCATTCACCGTAAGTCTTACGCATTCCAATCAAATCTTACGGTCTTACGCAAACACCGGCAAAACTATCCCAAAATTTGAATAAATTCTGTTTATTTTTCAATTTGTAATGAATTTTCATAAGAAGGGAAGATGCCTTTCGTTATCTTAAACTATCTTTCAATAACTGCTGTATCGGATAAACTCACTAATATCGATTAGATATGCCATTTAAGCCAAAGCGTCGGGACTCCTTGGCGGCACCCTGGCCCCCAGCCGCTGTTCGTGCCTTCGGCACTCATTATGTGTCACCCAATCTTACTCTTCGAAATTTCTCAAGGTTGACAGGTATGACAAGTTATTATCAAAAATAGTGTGGCTAGGGAATATCAAGTGTCTACGTACTCCTGTCAAAATGAAAAATTGAACCAAAATTTCTGTATGAACGCCAGCTTTACAGGTTCACCAGTTTTACCATTGTAGGGAACTCTCAATAATAAGGTGCCAAACAACTATTCAACACATTTTAAGGGTTCTTATTACATTTCTTGCTGCGTTTTGAAATTCATGTCTTCGAATAGTATATATGACCGGGTTAAGAATTGGATTAATTGACAATAATGGATACCATAAATAACTCATTATATTTCGCATTTCACAACAAAGCGAGAAAAGAAAAGTAATTGTAAAAGTAGGAGCCGAGCTTGTCGAAAATGCACCAATCACAATAATCGTTGTTTTTGTTGCTTTCCAAGACGCAGAGTAGGTTTCCATCTGTCTAGGTTGTCCGGTGGCTATAGCGTTTATCTGTCGAGATTGCTTGCGAGCTATAATATACATTCGTACATTTATGGCAATAATTGTAAAATAGGTTAACAAACTAAATATTTGAGAAAACACCATGATCCAAGAAACAGCAAACCCGTTTGCACATACAGTAATGATCAACATTTTTGGATTCACCAACGTAATAAATGGGATTGTCCAAGCGAGGCATATTGATATAAACACTTTTTTATTACTTGTGTGATAGGAAAATGGTCGAGTTATCAACAAGTATTTGTCTACTGAGATTGCTAGGAGATGAGCCAATGAGGCAAAGGTAAGATATACCATCACTACAAGCAACGCCGAGTTCGTCATATTAAACATCATTACTACACTGGAGGTAAGGTCGACAATTGCAAGACTAGCAGTAAGATAATTGCTGCAAGTATGAAGTGCAGGACATTTTATGATGACAACAACAACAAACATGTTACCAACGAAACCGAATATACCAAGTAAACAAACGATTGTTTCTGTATAATTATTTGAATAAAAGAAATAGTCAGTAGAATTACGTTCCATTTCATATATACTACCTCCACAATGATTCCGGAAACATATTTACGGTAAAAATGTACATCACAAATACACATAAAAAACTTGGACCGTCGCGTGATAAGCTTAGAATTTCATAGAGATACTTATGCAATGACTTAATGACCTCATTTTTAGTAAGATGTTAATTCCGTGAGGGCGTTTAGTTATTCACAACTGTCACATCCGTTGTTTAATTTCAATTGATTAAACGTTGGTGGGATTTACTTTCAAATCAATGGCTCTCGCTATTGATGAAATCGAAGAGAACTAATCGAAGAGAACTAATTACAATCACAAACGGTCATCAAAACAGAAAACTTGAAATTAAGTAATAACGGTGCTGGCAATACGATTGACAGTTATTGTAGGTACTGGTTGGTTTCACTAATTATAATGAAACATAATATTAATACGTCAATACGATAATTTATCTTTTAAAAAACAGTAGTAAAAATTATTAAATAAGCCTAGGTATGATAAAATTATCCCTTATATATTTACAAAATTGTATTTACGCAAAAAAAAAAAAAAAAAAAACAACTAATACCTATATTTACGTTTTCACTAAAAAATATCCACCCTTAAAATAACCTGGTAAGACATTAAGTTACAGGCTTACAGTTTTCAATCGGTCGTCTCATATACGCTGTGCCAATTGAATTTAATAATTATTTTTTAATGTGAATAATACAAATTTTGAAATTTTTGTCTAATTTGCTTTTTTAAATGTCGAATATCTTTCTGAATGTTCCCCATTTTGGTCTTCATTGAAACCCTTTGAGTGTCTATTTTGCTTCATTTGTAATTTACAATCTAAATGATTGCAATAAAGATAATCTGAAATTTCAATTTAATGCATATATGCATAAGATAAGCAAGCATGTATGGTTGTCCTGCTTCAGGAAAAACAAAACAAAAACATTTTTTGCAAGCATTTGGGAACCTACTGAGCATTCAGTATCTTGAGATAGGGCAAACATCGATTTGTATTATTTTTCCTGACGCAAAACGCTATCAGAAAAAATAGTTATGAAACATTTATTTCAACAATTGCTGTTTAATTACCATAAAAATATTTAGATTTCAATAAGCATACTGTTTACATTATTCTAATTAATCCTCAATTTGCTGACTGCTAATACATCTGAGCATGTACAACTTAAAAATATATCTGAGCTTGAACACAGTACAGCTTATTCAAACGAAAAGTACTTTTCAGCCATCTTGGGTAGGCTAGGACATTAGGTTTGACAAGACAAACCTCAAATACTTTAATGAAACACATCAAAGAGGCTATTAATTGCCCGAAGGTTAATTACTAGATAAATGCCCCCATTTCTATCATTATACAGGGTGAAACTCGAAACCGTCTATTCTTTAAAGTTAGGATCGGAAGACGACATCAGTAATCAAAATATTGGATAGCCCCGGTATTCAACCCCCAGCCCGCGGCCCAATTCAGGCCCGCCAAAGATTTTGATCAGGCCCGCACAACATTGC